GAAAATGTGCTTTATGTGCCAACATTGAGTTGCAACCTGTTGTCTATTTCTCAATTGACAAATGAAACAAACTGTGTTGTCTATTTCACTAACAACTTATGTGTTATGCAGGATTGCACTTCGAAGATGCTGATTGGAGCGGGTGAACAACGAGATGGACTTTACTTCTTTAAAGGAATCCGAAGTGAGAAAGCACACAAAGCTAATGGAACTTGCAAACTTAATCTGTGGCATCAACGCATGGGGCACCCTTCTTTCAAGGTCACTAAATTAGCTTCCAACATGAGGTGTGATAACGATATTTTAAAGAACAAACCATGTGATGTATGTTTACGGGCTAAGCAAACTAGAGATGTCTTTCAAAAAATTTACATTAAGAATATATAAATGATTAACTCATTAAATAAATACTTCGGTAATTAAAACACTGAATTGCTAAGAAGGTTACTTACGAGTGATTTGGTCCGTTTTTCCCATGGTTTATTTAATTAATTCTGTGTCCTTTCTATTTGTGGTCGACATTTGAAAATTGAAAGTGTTAACGTGATTAATACCTAATTTCTGTCTAATCAAAGTGTGAGCATCACATGTTTCAAGATAGGACATACGAGTATTATAAAACAAGATAGAAAAGCTGACTAATATAATACTAATTAATACTGCGCATCGATTTTTAAGAAGAAATTTACTAATTTATTTTTTTTACTATTCTAACTCGCACTATTAAACCCAGAGTTTAACGTGCCGAGTTACGTGCCGAGTTATTGGCTTTGGGGGATGGTTTAACGTGTTGTTGGGAAGGTGGGTTTCGGAAGGTGAAATGCGAATGTGATTGTCTAGGAGCTGCTATGCTGTTTCAAGAGCGATCCATGGATAGGGATTACCTGCATAATTACTATGATGTGATTCGTCGAATTAAGCGCTTCTAGCTAGGGACTTGGTTGTTTACGTGAGTCATATACCTCGAGAGATAAATTCAGTAGCACATACGCTGACTAATTGGAGTGTACGGAACATAGGTTCCAATGTATTTTGGAGGAGTCCTCCAGAGTTTGTCCTGTTACAGTTAGGGAAAGACTCTATGTCTTGAGTTGTTTGCTGTTTTTAGTTTTCATTCTTTACCAAAAAAAACAAAACCCAGAGTTTTTATTTACACCATTAAACCAATGATTGTTTATATATTTAATTTTTCTAATTCCATAAAAAAATTATATTCTTAAATTATCCTTCATTAAAATGTGACATAAAGAATACAAGAGACATTAAAAATATAATTTCAATTAAATAAAGGGTAATATAAATATTTTTAAAATATATAATTATTTATATGTCAATTTTAATATTACTCTCGATTTTAATTATAAGTAAATAGCACAAACTATCGAAACTAATAAAAATAATTAAATTATATATTTCTAATTAATTTTACTATAAATTTAAATTTTATTTC